GTCTCAATCCCGGGCGTAAGACAGCAGCAGCAGCCTGGGCTACGTGGGCTGTTTATATAGCTCTCTAGACATAGGTAGTAAAACTACCTGTACTTTTGGCGCGAAAAAGGTGAATGTGCTTGCAGTCACGTCCCAACCGGGCCCTGGTCAGGGGTCCGGGAGGGGCGGAATGCATCACATTCCTTATCTTGATGTTAAGAACATCTGGTCTTTTTAACAAAGTCCTCCCTGTTTTTTCCCTGGCCAGGTATCCAGGGAAAGAAGAGGTGAACTAGTGATTACGCGCCTTAGAGAGCCGAAAGCCTTAACCCAAGCCTTTCCAACTTAAAGTTTTAACTTTCCTTACAGCTTCCCAGGCAGGTGCTGGGCTAATTCCCCAGTCTGAAATGTAATATTCTGGCTAGGTGATGCTATTATTCTGTGAATTATTTTTATAATATTAAGAAATTGATATAAAAATTGTCAAAGTAGGGACAGATGCCCCAAGTCAGACCCCTCACCCAAGCAGACCTGCTACCTGCAACCACAGGAGCACAAAGACCGCACAAAGCCAGCTCTTACCACCTCCCTGTTTATCAGCCAGCCCATCACCCATGGGACTCTAAAATTTTCCACTCTCTCAACCAGCGCCCCCTCCCCTACCTACCACCCCCCCTCCCCGTATGAACCACTGCACCCTCTTCTCGGTGCCAACGGCCTTTTTGCCCTTAGCCCATCTGTACCCAAACGGCAATAAAGTCATCCTGTGTTCCTGTGTTGCTTAGGCTTTGCCTGTCTCAGTGGCCTCAATTGTGCCTGTTTAACCTTACAAATAATTACACATTTTTTATATTTTTGAGAAGTGGTCTCAAAAAAAAGAACATGCTGGGCATGGTGCCACATGCCTGTAATCCCAGCTCTCTGGAGGCTGAGGCAGGAGGATCGCTGTGAGTTTGAGACCAGCCTGGGCTACAGAGTGAATTCTAGGTCAGTCTCAACTACATAGTGAGACCCTGTCTCAAAAAAAAAAAAAAAAAAAAAAAAAAAAGAGAGAAGAGTTTAACTTGGAGATTACCTGAATAATGAGATGAAAGCAGAAGGATGTGTAGATGCCCCACAAGGGCTTGGTGGAGAAATGCTGAATGCTGGGTGTACCTTTTTTTTTATATACATTGGAAGCTTTCTTTAATAAAATGATTTTTAAGAGTTCCTTGTTGGGCTGGGGTTTTACCTCAGTGGTTCTGGCTCCTGCCTCATAAGCACTAGGGCCCGAGTTTGATTCCTGGTTCAAAAAAAAAAAGTCCCTTATTGAGACTGGAAGGGTCCCCCCAGATGCTGTGATACATATAGTTCCCCAATATCTGAACAAAATCAGATAAAAGCAGAGAAATTTATAGACTAGTGCCAGAACCCACAATATTGATTATGCCCAAAACATGCTGTAAGCAGTGCAGGCTGCAAAGAGTTAAATCCCTCGATTGGCTGACACTAACAGGAGCAAGTCTGACTGAAGCTACGAGAATCACAGAAGCACCTCATGAGCACTGCAGTAGCTCACGGGTTAACATGACCTCCCCGCTAATGGCCACAGCCGAGACCAGAGTCATGGCCCATGAAGCTGTGGGGCTGATACAAGGTAACGTGTAGCTGAGGGGTAGCTGAGGTCGGAGTAAATTGCACCCAAATTCCATTCCCATAGGGCCAAGGATTTAGCTCAGTGTTTCTGCCTCGTACTTCACAAGTGCAAAGTCCCAAGTTCGAATCCCAGTACCAAAAAAAAAAAAAGAAAGAAAGAAAAGAAAAAA